ACAGCCCTAGCCCACCAATTTGATACCCTTTCCCTTTGAGAACCCACATGGCTTATGGATACTGGTGCCACACACCACATTGCCTCAAACACAGGTACTCTTTTTCATGTCTCTTCTCAAGTTTTATATTCACCTCACTATATCACTGTTGGTAATGGATCTAAGGTTCGCACTACGGCGGCTGGTAGCCACACCCTTCCCACCACCCCTCCCCTCTCCTTAAATAATATCCTAATATCCCCCCATATTACTCATAATCTTATCTCTGTTCGCAAACTCACTCGTGATAATGACTGCACTGTTGAATTTGATGCTCATGGTTTTTCTGTGAAGGATCGTCAGACGGGGACCGTGATGCATCGGTCCAATAATGTAGGTCCTCTCTACCCGGTAGACCATCGAGCCTCTGCTCAAGCTCACGTATCGTCCGTAGATCATCAAACCTGGCATCGTTGTCTCGGCCATCAAAAGTGCAGATCGCCCATATCTGTCATGGAGAATTCAGCCTTGAGCTGCTGAATGAGACTCTGTTGTAGTAGTGCTGGGGAGGATGCTGTGAGAACTATATCATCCACATAAAGTAGTAGATAGGCCGTGCCCATGGGCTGAGAGAGGACAAATAGAGAAGTGTCGGCCTTGCATCCTCTAAGCCCAATAGTCTGTATGAAGCCAGCAAACCTGTGAAACCATGATCGGGGTGCTTGCTTGAGACCATATAGAGCCTTCTTGAGCTTGCACACATAATGAGGGCGAGTGGGATCCTGAAACCCAGAAGGCTGACAGGCATAGACGGTCTCCTGCAGCTGGCCATAAAGGAACGCATTCTTGACATCAAGCTGATGAATGGGCCATCCTCGAGACAGAGCGAGACTGAGGACAACACGAACAGTGGCAGGCTTGACAATGGGGCTGAAAGTCTCGTCATAATCAACACCAAAACGTTGGTTGAAACCGCGAACCACCCAGCAGGCCTTGTAAATGGATAACTCACCAGTTGGGCCAAATTTATGTCTAAAGAGCCATTTACCGGTGATAAGGTTTTGTGAGGGGGAGGGGGGTACTAATTCCCATGTGTCATTCTTTATCAAGGCATTATATTCATCACACATAGCAGCATGCCAGTTTGGATCTTTTAGTGCACTACGGTAGGTTGGGGGTAACGGGGAGTAGGTTCCTACCGCTGCCGCCACCTGCCATCGTAGAACGCCGGTGAGCCGTCGTTGGCCGCCGTCTGCATCTCCGCCAGTGGGTCGCGTCAATAGCAGCGGCAAGAGCCGCTGCTCTGTTATTTCCGTACGATTCCCCCGTCTTCAAATGTGATTTGTCTTCAATTTATAGCCGAAGGATTGTTCCGTTGATTTCTTCCCGTTGGCAATTGATTCTAGCGATAAATCATAAATGTGGGGGAGCGTTGGACCTGGCCTTGGCGTTATCTTCGTGCGTCGCTCGAGAGTTAACAAAGAGGAAGGAGCCGCTGGAGTTTTTTTCCTTGCGTGAAATTGAATTAGGGAGAGAAGAGAATGCTCGGCTGATTATTTAATTTTGGGTTTGGGCTCCGGCCCAAAATCAATCTCTTCTTTTTCAAACTTGAACTCCGATTTGGCCTTTTGCTACACTTTTTCTTCAAAAAAAATAAAATATCTGATAATTTGGGTTAGGAAAAATAAAAATAAAAAAATGATCAAAAAACTACTATTTATGAAAGAAAATAAAAAGAATGTAAAAATGAAAATTAAAATAAAACTAGGCTAAAAAACTAAAAATTAAAATCTAAAATTATTAAAAATGCCTAAAAAAGAATAAAAAGAACTAACCCAAACCCGACTTATCACATCGTATCAACATATAAAATCCTCATAGGCAAATTAATCATCAATGTATATTAAAGTAAACAAAATGATATTTTATCAATAAAAAGTTCAACAAGAATTCAAGAAGAGAATTACAAACTTACAGTGCTCCAAGAATTTGAGAAATGATTCTTGATGATGAAAGTTAAACAATGCAAATTTACTGCTCCCTCCGTCCTAAAATTAATTTCCCATTTTGACTTTTGCAGTCAAAGTTTTTAAACTTTGACTGCATATTACGGAAAAAATATATTGAATTCTCATATAAATTTAGTATCAATAGATTCATTTTGAAATATAGTTTTGAAATATATTATTTTGATAATATATATTTATATAAAAATGGAGATATTAATGGTCAAAGTGCCGCATTGGAGACCATGAAAAGTCAAATGAGAAGTTAATTTTAGAACGGAAGGAGTACAATATTTTGGAGTCCACCTCTATTTATACTACTTCACCTCTAAGATGGTGGAGAGTTCTCCGGAATCTTCCATAATTCTAGAGAATTCCACTATCTTCTTCTACACTCTTCCACAAAAGGCTCCACATCTCTCTAGAGAATTCCAAAGGCTTCCATATTCTTCCATAAGCCTCTAAAAATTTCTATAAATTTTCAGAATGTTCTTGAGGCTTCCAAATTTATCCACATTCTACCATACGCTTCAAGAGAATTCTACACGCCTCGAAAGTTCTCCAGGGATTTCATCTCGATCTTCTCTAAAAAACCTCTAGAATTTTCCCGAGCCTTTCTTCTATTTATGCTAACTTCAAATTCCGCACCTTTTGAGATTATTTTTCTATTGAAAATTGACTCTTTTTATTCCATTCATGGCCCAATTTTGCATATTAATTCAAAGACATTCTTTTTATGATCAAATTATCAAAACATAATATTTTGATGAAAAAGAATAAGGAATTGATTGATTTGATAATTAAAATGGTACAAGAACGTATTAAATATGAGTAAAAAGATAAGTACGAAGCGGACTTATCAATCTCCTCACACTTAAACGTTGATTGCCCTCTGGTGGGTCTTTTCCTCCTAATGTAAATGTAGGGGATAATTTTACTTTTAAAGGGATTTAATATGTATAGTAAAGAACACAAAACTTTGATTGGAATTGTAGAAACCCATTAATTCCCTATATGTAAAAAACTATCACCTACGTATGGGTACAAGTACTTTGTATTATATATATGGAAGTAGTAATCTGTTTATCTTTTAACGTGTATCGTAAAAAAACTGCATTTATAGGGTTGATGAATATTTGAAGGACTACTTATGGACTTCTGAAATTTAAAATACTGCACGTGGATGGTTATGAATACTCGAAGGCTTTATATGGACTTTTGAAACTTGAAAGACCAATCGTGCATAACTCGTAAAGTTGAAGGACCAATCATGGATTTTAGCCAAATTTAAGTTACCCGTTTTGGTTACAATGTTTAATTGAAATTATTTCAATTCAATTAATTTGAAATTTGCTATTGTGATGTGTATTTATTTATTTCGAATAGGCTCAGGTCACCCGTAAAAGACGGTCCGTAGTTGTGCACTACAAAGGTACCAAAAGGAGCAACACCCCAACCCAACCTCGCCACACTCCACTCACAAAGAAACGGAGAAGAACAGAGATGAACACACAAAGGGAAAAAGAAATCCACACGGAAGTCTCACAAAGAGAGATGAAGGATTTTTGCACGGTCAAAACTCAAAGGGGGGGAGGCTCAATTTATAGTGAGATTTAAGAGCTAATTAAGGTAAGCTTAATTAGGGTAAAGAATAAGAGATGGGCTAAGAGAAATGGGCCGCTGGGTTGGGTGTCAAATAATATTAATATGTTTGGGCCAACACAAATAAATTAACAATCTCCACCTTTGGCCCAAAGTAGTGCACATAGTTTGACAAGGAACCGCGGGACTCATCATAGCCTAATAACCACTAAATGTGTAATCAACAAATGAGAACACACGTAGTGGTGGAGAGTTCACTAAGTACTCTCAAGTCACGAAGACTAGGCAACATCACAAAGCATGCCAAAAATAACTCATGAAGAGTCGAACTCTACCATTGGGTCATCGAGTTCAAAAACAAAAGAAAAGCAAAAGTCACAAAGACAAAAAAAAGAACAAAAGATCAGCACACAATCACAGAGATAGGTTTAAAATCTTTTGACATAAGGTAAATTTTTCAACAGGTAAACACTTAGTACCCATGTCAGCTGTATTAGATTCCGTAGGAATTTTCTCCAGCATGACAATGCCCTTTTCAACTATGTCTCTAATAAAATGAAACCTAACATCAATATGTTTTGTTCTATCATGAAAAACAGGATTTTTGCATAGTTGAATGGCAGATTGACTATCAGAAAAAACAACCACATTCTAATCGAGCAAGCATATTTCAGATAAAAGACCTTTAAGCCAAATGGCTTCTTTAAAAGCATCTGTGGCTGCAACATACTCAGCCTCAGTAGTAGATAAAGCAACAATGTGTTGAAGTTGAGATTTCCAACTAATGCAAGAACCACACAAAGTGAACACGTAGGAAGTAGTGGATTTTCTATTATCCCTATCGTTTGCATAGTTAGAATCCACATAGCCAATTAATCTAACACTTTTATCACTTCTTGAAAAGGTTAAACCAACATTCCTAGTAGATTTTAAGTATCTCAAAAGCCATTTTAGAGCATTCCAATGAGCCATACCAGGATTAGACATGTATCTACTCAAACAACTAACAGCATATGCAATATCAGGCCGAGTGCTAATCATAAGATACATCACATAACCAATAGCATTCGAATAAGGCACACTTTTCATTTCATTAATTTCAGCTTTAGTTTTAGGGCACATATCCTTACTCAACACAAAGTGAGCAGCTAAAGGAACATCCACAGGTTTAGCATTAGACATAGCAAATTTACTCAAAATCTTATCAATGTAGGAATTTTGGTTTAAAACAAGAGTAGATTTCTTTCTGTCCCTAACAATATATATTCATGCCAAGTATTTTTCTAGCATCTCCTAAATCTTTCATGTCAAAATTTTTGCAAAGGTAATTTTGAACATGCTCAATAGACTTTAAGCTAGGACTAATGATTAGCATATCATCCACATAAAATCCACATAAAGGAGAAGAAAAACAGGAACAGAGAAAGTGTTCTTAAAATACAAGCAATGATTAGCATATCATCCACGTATATTTAATAATAATGGGGTTAGGATTAAATACACAAACGTATATATATATGATATATATAATAATGGGGTTAGGATTTCTGAGAGAAGGGGGAGATTTCAACGGCGGCACTACTTCCGATCCTTTCAATTTCGATGGCCAATTCCCGCATCATCATAACGTGAATTATGAAGGGAGAGGCAGAGGTACCCCTACACCTCGGTGGCAAAGCGGTTCGAGAAACATCAGAAAAGGATGGAGATCCAAAACCTGGTTTGGTGATGTCCGAGCAATCTCTCCTCGTTACAAAGGTCCTTTTATATGCAATTCTAGCGCTTCAATCTCGATCGAGAGCAAGGTATTTAATTTCCAGACTCCAGACCTGATTGTAATTTCTGAATCCAAGAATGGTAAATCTCGAATTGTTTCTTTATCGCGTTCTACTGCCTCGTGGCTTTCTGAATCACTAAGTCACCCACCATTGGCTAGAGAGGGTTGGGTGATTTCCAAATATGAGGGAAATTTGAAGGTGAAATCCCACTGGGATTCAAATCTTTCTGGAAATTTTGTTAGAATTAGCGCAGGGACAGAAAGGGAGATGTCGAATATTTGCGTTCCGGTTGGAAGGCATTCAGAAGGAATTAAGCTTTTTGTTAAAGCTCTGAATGTAGCCCTAAGCTTCCGAGAAGGCGAGGAATCTGGGGTTAAGGATTTAAACTGTGTCAAAGCTCCTGCACCTCTAGACTTGCTGATGCTTCCTGGGGAACGAGTAGAGGAGAAGCAAAGGGGGTTTCCTTCCATTTCATCTAATATTTTTGAACAAGATATTGTGCAGGTTTCAAGGATTGATAACATCACAGAAAAGGGGCTATTTTCTGATCCAAAAGAGGAACTTGAAGAGGAAATAAACAAAGTTCAAAAATTATTCCAACCAGCTTTTGAGGCCTACTTTGAATCGATCTTCAAGGCAGTAGAAAGACAAATTAAAGAGGCTTTGGCAAGGACAGAACTTCTGGACAAACTCAAAATGGGTCTCTTTCAAAATATGTCGGGGAAGACGTTAAGAGCAACAAGGGAGACAGTGAAAAGCATGGAAAAAGTAACCCTGGTTCAATTCGAAGATTCAAAATACCCAGCTTTTATTTCCTGCTCCAAGGCTGATGAAGGTCTTATGGCTGAATTTTTAACAGGGGAACAAGCTGCAGAGTCCCAAACTACAACTGCTTAAGTCTCTTTGGATGGGCTAGTGGGTCTCTCCTATCAACGGGACCATGGGTAAGCGGTTTAGCTTGGTGCACTTAATCTTTTAATTTTGTGTGTGGGTTCTATACAGTTGTGGTTCAGGGGGCTACTCCTTTACAAGGAATAATAGATTTCCCTTTTCTAATGTGTAATACAACAAACTGGAATGGAAGCTCATCTAGGATGATCACAGACTTGCATCTTCTCGTGCTGCAGAAGTGAGCATTCATCTGTTGTGCATACACTTGGGGGAATATGATACTTCCAAGCTATGTTGCTGTTTTCATTAAGACTTGAACAAACTCAAAATGGGTCTCTTTCAGTAACTTTTTAGGAATGGGCTATGCTGCTGGTTCCCTTTTATTAAGATGCTTTCAATTGGAGTCTTTGAAGACCCACCTAAGGGGTTGTATTTGTTTTTGTATTTCAATTGTTTGTACTTCAGTTTTTGGAGACACTATTTCGTCTATTTCTTGGGCTGTTTTATGCGATGTATTTGGTTTTGAGGAGCATTGGCTTGGACCCCTCCTCTTGTACTTGTTTGCCTTCCTTTTTAATAAAACTTTTTATTAAAAAAAAAGTATATATATATATATATATATATATATATATATATTTGGACAATTTAATTATGTGATAATTAAGTTTGTCAAATATAATTAATAATATATATATATATAGATATATATATATATATATATATATATATATTGAGATATATATAAATAATAAATCGTCTATTTTTTATTATTATTGAGGCGCAAGAATATATATTTATATATATTTGATATTTGGACATTTTAATTATATGATAATTAAGTTTGTCAAATATTATTTAAGGAACAAAATATAACATTATATTTATATTTATATATATGTGCGTATATATATTTATATATGTATCGTCGTATATATATTTATATATGTAAGTATATATATACATATATTTCGTGTATATGTATGTATTAAATGTTATTGATGGACAATAAATCCACCAAATGATCCGACTCACAAAGCGGATCGTAAGAACAAAATCAAGAACGAGAATTCGAGAATTGGGTATGTATTATTAGCTTGATTTAGGGCGTGATCCCCTTTTCCCGGCTCCGTAACGGCCAATCTGCTCCGTCTCCTTCTCCGGATTGACTCTGCCAGCTGCGCTTGGCCTGAGGTTAACTAGGCCCAGCTCCACGGGCCGGCCCAAGTTTGGGTATTTCACAGGTGCTTGACCCGAAGCTGTGTAAATGGTTCATTTGGGCCGCCCACTGGATATCGGCCCATCATAAGCCCCCCAACTCCTCAGTCCTCAACTGGGTCAAGTGGAGGAATGGGGAGTTTGCAAAGTCCACGTGGGCGCTCCAGCGGGGATCCGGGCCGTTCCTTGGATTCCGCGTGACATCTGGGCACGATCTCCACAAACAGGCAATCATGGCCTGCCGATTCGCCTTCCTATTGTCAGTTAAAAACTGCCGCTGGACGCCATCTCTTTCTTCCGCTTTCTTCACCATCATTCGTCTGCAATTTCGCTACTATCCGACCCGTTCTTCTTCCTTTCCAGGTCAGTTCCTTTTCTCGCCGCCATGATTGTTTCAGATTCCGATTCGGCTACCCCATCGTCCAATTCTCGCCAAGCCGATCAATCGGCCTCTGGCCGTAACCCCGGCCACACTCAATCACCCCAACCGTCACCGTCGGCCGTGTCTGGCCATAAACGGCGTCGATTGAGGAAGCAATTCCCTTCCTCAACCTCGGTAGATGAGGGCTCGAGGGTTGGATTGGACGAAAACATCATGGCGCTGTGCCATTGCCAGATTACTGACCGGGGATTCGCCGATGCTACTGACATGGTCGGACCTTCCATTGAAGTCATGAGACCTACCAGCACCCAAACCGCCCTGGACGCCCCTTCAGGGTTCTTCACGGTCCATCTGGCGTCTTTGAAGAAGGGGCTGCGCTTCCCACTCCACCCGCTTTTGATTGAATTCCTCAACGTGGTGGACCTTCTTCCGTGTCAGTTGGTCCCCAACTCTCACCGGTACATCGCCGGTTATTTGGTCCGGTGCAAGGTTGTAGGGGTGAAACCAACTTTGGACCATTTCCTATTCACTTTTAAGCTGACCAAGGGCCATAAGGATTGGGCGTCCTATGCCAGCCTTTCCCAGAGGTCTAGTAAGCTCTTTGCTAGTGACAAGAAGGGGTCGACCAAAGACTGGAAACCCTTCTTCGTTTTCGTCTCGACGAGGCCCGAATCTCCTTTCACGGGTTCAGGGCGCCCTTCCTTCCGCCGCATCCCATGCCCCCCATCTGATGCCACCCTTTTGTCCATCACTCGCCAACTCTGCAATAATGGAGTTATGAACATTAAAGAGGTGGTGACAGAGGAAACCCTTGCCGGGTTGGGGTTTGAGTTTGTTCAGGATGAGCTTCGCCACCAACCCGACCTACTGAGGGACATCCCCGGGGGGCATCAGCCTGTCCAGCTGAAGGACATTCCTGAGGAAGGTCTTGACTGTGGTCCTTTTGGTAATTGACCTTTTCTTTTGCCCAGATGTTTAGTTTATCTTTTTCCAAGGCTGACCATTTCCTTTGTTTCCAGTGGAATTACAAGATTTAGGAGAAGAGATGGACAGCGATCTCCTGCTCAGTCGCTTCACTGCAGGGAGGAAGAGGAAGAGAGAGGCGAAGGGCCAGGGCAAACGCTCTTCGTCCCACCATGAGCAGAGTCCCTCCCGAGAGCCGGCTGTTATTGTAGTGAAGGACCAGGATGATGCTACCCTGGAAACGGGTGCGGTGACCGGTCATTCCCCTCCCCTCTGTGAGGCCAGGTGGCGACCTCGCTGGGTCGTCACAAGGCGTTGCCTCGGAGCGACCTCCTTCGCCTCCCGCAGTGACCTACGAGGTGGCGACCGGGGGTCGCTCGACGAGGCTTTGCATTCCTCCTCTGCCCCAAAGCTTAGGGGACGTGCAACTAGAGACCCTGATCACCTTGCCCGCGGAGGACCAAGCTCGCATCTCGGCCGGTTCTGAGGACGACCTTGATAACATGGTCCTCTTGAGGCTAAGCCAGGTACTTGCGCTGATTCTATCTGCACTCCTTTTTTTTACGTTCTTAACCCCCATGCCTTGGTGCAGGCCACGCTGGGGATGATCGAGGTGGTCGGTAGGAGACGGGGTCACCAGGCTGCCTTGGGCGAGGCGTTGAAGACATCGGAGGCCAAGCAGAAGGAATTGCAGGAGGAGGTCGCCCGACTCACAAGAGAGCTGGGGGAGAAGGAAGATCGTTGCGCGGTGCTTGCTGCAGAGAAAACTTCCAAGGAGAACCGCTGCGTCGCCCTTGAGGCAGACAAAGCCTCCTTGTCCTTGGAGGTAGAATCTGTTTCCGCTCGCGTGGTCGAGCTGGAGGGGGAAAAATCTGACCTGATCCAGCAGTTGGAAGTGGAGAGGAGCGACCGGGCCCGCCATGCGGAGGAAGTGGTAGAATCCTTCAAGTCTTCTCCTGACTTCACAATGGTCGCGATGGAGCGAATGGAAGAACTAACAGCCGCTTGGCTCAAAACTGAACCTGGGGCTCAATGGATGGTCAAGGAGGGGACCAAGTCCTTCAATTGTGGACTCTTCCGCGCCCAACAGGTCTTCCGCGACAGACTGGCCCAGCTCCCCAAAGGATTCTCTCTCCCCGACCTCGGCTTTCCCCCTCCTTGCCGTTCCTTGGTCGAGTTCGACCCCAGCCCTTACTTGGACGGAGGGAGCTCAAGCGCGTCTGAAGAAGAGGAAGAAGAAGAGGAGGAAGGTGGACAAGGCGACCAGAATCCAGGAGCCAGCTTAGCCACGTCCAAAGCGGGTGGACATTCTGGCTCGACCGTCTAAACTCCCCTGTTGTTCCCCCACAACTTTATAAACACTTGCTTTTTTTTCAGTATGATTTGTCGTTTTGATACAATGCTCCTATGTTGTTCGATTTTCTGGATTCACCACGTGCTTTTTTTTTGGCGTTTTGCTTCAGCACTCTCTTCTCTAGTTTAGTTGATTCGCATGTATGTTTTAGTTTGGGCCCAACTCCTAGTCCCGGCCCGTCTACCCGTCCAGGCCCAATCTATGGACTGGCCAGCGTGCCGCCCAACTGACCCAATGCCCTTCACAGTCTCTGATTGGACCTTCGCGCGGCTCAAAGCTGCTTTATCGGTTCATCATTGCCATGTCTGAAGGAATTCCTATTTCTCTGAATCTTTCCGACGGGCCGGCTCCTTCTTCGCCAGAGCCTGCCTCCTCCCCCAAGTTAGTCAATTCCAATGACTGGGGGGGGTCAGACCCTTACGAATTCTGCCGCCGGTTGCCTCGCCGGCAGTGGCCGTCGGTAAAACCGCCGCCACTACCACCAAACCCTTATGAAGACTTTAGTGAGGCGTACAAGGCCCTCTCCGCCAATCGCCTGCCTGACGGGCGGATTGATTGGGATGCCCCATGCCCCCTCCATTCCCTGCAATGCATGGCCTGGGAGAGCTTTCATGATGAGCACTTACCCCTCCTGGAGCATGAGTGCGCATACTACGCAAGTCTTGAACGATGGACTAGCGAAAGTCGCACCAATTCGCCGGTGAGGCCTAAGGAGGAGGTTGTGTTGGGGGAAGAACTGGGTTCCAACCCACCTCGTCCCACCAGCCACTCAACTCCCTGGAAAACCCGTAGGCGACCTGGAGTAGCCCGAGCGGCTTCAGGATCTCCATCCTCATCTAGGTGATGTGGCTTCAGGATCTCCACCCTCATCTAGGTGATGCTGGTTGGGGTTCAGGGAGAAGTGAGCCGTTCCCCGTCCTTTCTTGGTAGGAGAAGGGCGGTGGGTTTTTGCCGAGGCCGGGGGCGACCATTCCCGTTCCATGATGGGGAAGAAAGGTGGTCGTCCTGGACGGCAGGTGATCGGAGTTCTGCCTGCCTATACAACTGCAGAACTACCCTTCAAACCTGCATGTCCCCCCTAGACCTCTGCTCGCAAAGTCTTAGATTGTTGTTTTTCATTGTAAGAGATGTATAGGAAAGTATCCCTCCTTACGTAGAGATTGTTCCCAACTGTATTGTTGCAGATGCAAGAGATTATCCTTGAAATGTAATGAACATTTTCATGAATGTATTTTGATGTCACCTGTTTACTTACAAGTTTCATCTTCTTCTCTTCTGCATCTCATTTTAAACGTTCAGGTTTCCTCAGACCTTGATAAGAGATTACCTCGCCTCATTTGACTTAGCCATATCTGCGTCGCCATTGACCCCTGGTCGCTCATGCGATCAGCAGATCTTATGTTCCAGACTTAGCCGTTTTCTCGGGCTTTCTTGCCACGGCGTCGTCCTCTGATTAGTCGCGTCGCCTGACAGCCCCCAACCTTGGTCGCTTGTCAGGGTTCGACGCCTCATCTTCTATTGGGTACCTTAGCACGAATCACCATACCGTTTAGGCTTAGCGAGCTTAAGCTTAGCGACCTCTTGTGGTCGCTCTTTTCTTTTTTTTTCTTTTTTTTTGAGAATTGAAGACAAGATGTGCCAGAAAGCTGGTTTTATTAAACTTCAAGAAAGAAACATGGCTGGAATACAATCTATTGATAAAATTTTATAAGGTTGGCGGCATTCCATGCTCGCGGAACGTCGCCACCGGCTGGAGTCTACAACCTAAACGTCCCATCAGCCAACACCTCCGTTATGATATATGGCCCTTCGAAGCTTTTAGCAAACTTTCCCCCGTCGGTCGGCCGGCTGACCTCCCTCTTTCGAAGGACCCAGTCGCCCATCTTGAACTGCCTTGGTCGCACCCGTTGGTCGTGATATGACTTGACCTGCCGGCGGTAGTTTTCTGCCCGCATGTATGCCCTTTCCCTACGCTCATCAATGAGGTGCAATTCTGCCCTCAAGTTCTCTTCAATTTCTTGATCATCAAACGTCTCCACTCTATAACTCAACAAAGAGGTTTCCGCTGGAGCCCTTGCTTCAAATCCATATGTGAGCGAGAAAGGAGTTTCACCTGTGGCCTTCATTGGGGTAGTTGTGTAGGTCCACAAAATCTAGGGCAATTCCTCCACCCAGGCACTTTTGCATTCCATTATCTTCTTCTTGAGACCGTCCACGATAGTTCGATTAGTGTTCTCGACCTGCCCATTGGTTTGAGGGTACCCGACCGCTGCATAGTTGTGCTTTATGCCCCAGCTCTGTAGAAACTCATTGAACCCTCTGGCCTCGAATTGGGTTCCATTGTCGGTGATGATCTGCTGGGGCACCCCAAATCGGCACAAGATTTGCTTGGAAACGAACTTCGTCATCTGTTCTGCAGTAATGGTCGGCACGGGAGCGGCCTCAACCCACTTAGTAAAGTAGTCGATCGCGACCACCAGGTATGTGTTGTTCCCTGTCCCCCGAGGCAAGATGCCAACCAGATCGACGCCCCACCGAGCAAAGGGAATCGCCGTACTGATCGGGGTGTAATTCGTCGCCGGTCACCCCGGCATCCTTTGGAATTCCTGGCAAACCTTGCATTTGCGCACGTACTCTGCGCAATCTCTAATAATCGTTGGCCAGAAGTATCCTTGTAGGGTTACTTTCCTGGACATCGTGAAGGCTCCCTGATGTGCTGAGCATATTCCTTCATGGATTTCCTCCATTAACTTCTGTGCTTCGCCCTCTCTTAAGCACCTTAGCAATGTACCATTATACGACCGCTTGTATAATCGACCGCACTCCAGCGTGTAACTGGGTGCACGCCGTTTTACCACTTTCGCCGTGACTGGGTCGGTAGGTAGCGACCCATCAAGGAGGTACATGGTAATCTCATCAATCCAATCCGCTGGCTCCTTGAGTGTGATGACCAATACTTGTCCGAGACTGATGCTTGGTTCGAGCAATTCTTCTTCTTGGGCCATTGCCTTGATATGATCTGGGGAATCTGGGCCCAGCTTTGACAAGATGTCCGCCTCAGCATTCTCTTCACGAGGTACCTGCTCTATCCGGTACGCTCCAAACGCTTTGAGCAATTCCCGGGCGATGTCTCTATACTTCTTCATTCGCTCATCCTTGGCCTCAAACTCTCCAGTGACATGACCTACTATTAGCTTGGAATCGCACCGGACTCGAACTCGTTCAGCTTTTAATGAAGCTGCTAGCCTCAAACCGCAAAGCAGAGCCTCGTATTCAGCCTCATTGTTTGAGACTTTAAACCGGAATCTAACGGAGTAGTATGCTTTGAACCCTTCCGGTGATATCGCCACGACGCCTCCTCCGGAAGCATCAGTCGTGGACGAACCATCAGCGTACACCGTCCACCAGCTCCCTTCGGGTTCTTTTCCACTAGACTCCACCTCTCTTGCTGTGCACTCTACCACGAAATCTGCCAACGCCTGCCCCTTTATCGCCGGTCGTGGCTTAAACTCTATCTGAAAAGATCCCAGGAACACTCCCCACTTGCTTACCCGTGATGGGGCATTCGGACTTCGAAGAAGTGTTCCGATGGGAATTTGTGATAATACATGGACCGGGTGGGCTTGAAAATATGGGGTGAGCTTTTTCACCGTACATACCACCGCAAAGATGGTTTTCTCCATATTTGTGTACCTTAGCTCCGCCCCTCGCAACACCCGGGCCACATAGTACACAGGTCGTTGTACGCCCTCCTCCTCCCTCACAAGCACCGAGCTCACAGCTCGAGGAGAGATTTCTAAGTACAGAAATAGGATCTCTCCCGGCTCTGGCTTCGAAAGTAACAGTGGGGAGAGGAGGTAACCTTTCAACCCTTCAAAGGACCGTTGACATTCTTCGGTCCAGACAAACCCTCTGCTCTTCTTAATGGTCTGAAAGAAAGGAGCCACTCGATCAGCTATCTTTGACAAGAAGCGACTGAGAGCAGCAATCCTGCCGGTCAGCTGCTGGACCTCCTTCACATTCCTCGGAGGTTCCATCTCTAAGATTGCTTTTACTTTCTCCGGATTAGGCTCAATTCCTCTCCGGCTGACCATGTGTCCCAGGAACTTGCCCCCCTGAACCCCAAATGTACATTTCTTGGGGTTAAGGCGAAGCTGGAACTTCTTCATGATCTTGAACACTCTCTCCAGGTCGCCGCCATGGGACTCCATCCGTTTGGACTTGACGATCATGTCGTCCACGTACGCTTCCATGCATCCCCCCAGCACTGGCGCGAACAACTTGTTCACCATCCGTGCATAAGTCGCCCCAGCATTCTTCAACCCAAAAGGCATCACCTTGTAACAGTATACCCCACTGGGGGTGATGAAAGCGGTCTTTTCTTCATCCGCCACAGCCATCTTGATCTGATGGTACCCACTGAATGCGTCCATAAAACTCATCAGCTCACACCCTGCTGTCTCATCAACCAACTGGTCAATGTTGGGGAGAGGAAAAGGATCCATCGGGCAGGCTTTATTTAGATCAGTGTAATCGACGCACATCCGCCAGGTATTCCCTTTGGGTGCGAGGACTACATTTGCCAACCATTTCGGGTAGCGGACTTCCCGGATGTGCCTAATGGATTGTAGGGTGGTCACCTGCTTGGTGACAAACTCTCTCCGTTCTGAGGAAAGGAAACGCTTCTTCTGTTTGACCGGCTTGTGGGTCGGATCCACTGCCAATCTATGGCAAATGATTTTTGGGTCGACCCCTGGCATATCCTCTGGTCCCCAAGCGAATAGCACCTTGAATGCTTGGAGGACCTCCAATAACTGCTCCTTTAATTCAAGCGGTAAGGTTTTACCTACCTTCACCTTCCGCTCTGGTTCGACCGGGTCCAAAGAAACTTCTTCGACCTCCTCCGCCGGTTCAGCTCGTGGTCGCCCCTCCTCCTTCTGGATTGCAGCGCAGATCGTACTCACATTCTCGTCGACCCGGACTTGGCTCTTGGTCGCCCTAACGTAGCACGACCGTGACAGGCTTTGGTTTCCCTTTGCTATCCCCACCCTTGTGGGAGTGTTGAACTTTAGGCACAAGTGGACGGGGGAGATTACGCACTCCAGGTCCTCCAACCCTGGTCGTCCTAGAATCAGATGGTGTGCACAGTCGAGCTGCACTACCATAAATTCCATGTCGACCCAGAGTCGGTGGGTGCCATCTCCTACCCCGACCTTTACCGTGATAGTTCCTTCAGCCTCGATAGTATCCCCTGTAAACCCTGATAGCGGCGTATGGATTGGTTTCAGGTCGCTTCGGGACAACCCCAACTCCTTAAAGGTGTTGCTGTACATAACGTTGACCGAGCTGCCCGTATCGACCAAAGTTCGGTGAACAACCACATTATTGATCTCTACCTTTATCACTAGAGCGTCCCTGTGAGGGCTGAGGACTGGGGGATAATCCTCGTCTGTAAAGATCAGAGGTTCCTTCTTCTTCCGCTTAGGCAGCGGCGGCCTTTGTACCTCGGCTAGGTACACCATGTTCTTCCACTTCTTCCGGGAGGACAACGAATCTCCTCCGGTGTTTCCTCCCATGATGAACCGACACCCCAGGTGTCGGCAACCTTGCCTTTCCTCCTCATCTAGATCGTCACATTCTCGCCCTAGATACTGCCGTCCATCTTCTTGCCCTTCTCCTGCTGTGATCGCTGCCGTGGGGGCCGGCGGCCTCCTCCAGGTCCGGTTACTTGAGGACGGTCGCTTCGACCAAGGAGGCAGCCCTCTAGCGATCAGCTGATCCATCTCCTTCTTCAACGTAACGCACTCCGACGTGTTATGGGTGCTGTTACGGTGGTACTCGCAGTATTTGGGTGCATCTTGCACACCATAGCTTTCCCAACTATGAGGAGGGGCAGGCAACGACTGTACCGCATGAACAGGATGCCTGTTCGCGTGATACCCGGTGGGGTTCGGCCCCTTACCATAGTCCTTCCTTTTCTTTCCTTCTGCCACCGGCGGCCCGCTTTTCTTCTCCTTCCGGACTGGTGGCTCATCTTCTTCTTCTTCAACGCCAGGTACTTCGCCCTGGCCAACATCTCTTGATAGGTCGAGAGAGGATTCCGTCGCAGCTCCTTACGCACATCCCCTTGGGGGAGTGCAGCTTGGAGCATGGCGATCAGGGCTTGATTGTCCGCCCCTTGGACGTCCCTAGCCTCCTTCTCTCACCTATTAATGAACTCCCGGAGCTGTTCCCCCTCCCGGATCTTCACATTGAGCAAATGCGAGAAGGGGAGCTTTTGTCTCCGGCTGGATGCGAAGTGCTCCAAGAACTTGTGGGCCAGGTCGCTCCACTTATCTATCGACCCGTTGGGTAACTTGTGAAACCACTCACAAGCCTGCCCTTCCAGTGTCGCCAGGAAACATCGACACTTGATTTCTTCTGGGTACGCATACATGACCACATTTGCCCCGAAGCGAGCGAGGTGGTCCTGGGGATCAGTCGTCCCGTTGTATGCCTTGATTTGGGGAGTTTTGAAATTATCCGGGAGAGGACAAGACATTATCCTCCTGGAGAAGGGCGTTACCTCACTAAAGACCGCCTGGCGGTAGGGGTTCTAGGCGTCCAGCCGCTTCTCCAGTTGTTCGTACATTCTCCACAGCTCGGCTGCGCCCTTGTCCTCGACCATCGTCCATCGCTCCTCAGGACCGATCTTGGAGGTCACTGTGGACTCCCCTCTTTTCTCCTTGAGCGTGTCCCTCAAGTCGCCCTTTCGGGCCGACCGAGTGTCTTGCAACCGTTCGAACGCAGAGGTCCGAAGTTTCTTTGATTTGGGATCTCCCAAACGGTCAAAAGCAGACATCCGCTCGAAGGAGGACGACTCGTCCTCTTCGTCCAGCCTGGAAAGCGCATCCACCATCACCGCCTTCCCATTAGGCTTGGTCGCCTTCTTCTTCTGGGACCGCCTCACTTTCTTCTTTTTCCCTTGGGAGTCCGCAGGTCCAGCCTTCCCGCCTGTGGGTCCCCCAGCCACATCTTCTACCACAACCTCGCGGTTGGGCGCAAGTGCAGCCAGTACCTCCTTGAATTGTTCGGCTGTGATCCCAACCCTCTGAATGAGGGCCTCAGCCTCCCCCGTGGTGATGGGAGGATTCCGGCCTCCAGTGGCGCTGTTCTCCCCCTGCTGGGGAACTCCGGTACCTATATTGGCGTTACTGCGTGTTTGCACCATCGTCTCTGTGGAGGATTTCCTCTGAGTATGATTATCGAACTCTCAACGAGAGCACCAATTTGATGGACAATAAATCCACCAAATGATCCGACTCACAAAGCGGATTGTAAGAACAAAATCAAGAACGAGAATTCGAGAATTGGGTATGTATTATTAGCTTGATTTAGCTTGTTTCTTCCCCTTTCGGGTCTCCTCTATTTATACATGAGCTCTAAACCATTAAGGTAACGCATAATCGATGGAGTCTATCCCGCCAAGGGCGCGATCCCCTTTTCCCGGCTCCGTAACGGCCAATCTGCTCCGTCTCCTTCTCCGGATTGACTCTGCCAGCTGCGCTTGGCCTGAGGGTAACTAGGCCCAGCTCCACGGGCCGGCCCAAGTTTGGGTATTTCACAGGTGCTTGACCCGAAGCTGTATAAATGGTTCATTTGGGCCGCCCACTGGATATCGGCCCATCATTTATATTATTTATTTTGTGTTAATTATATTATAATTAAAGTTGACAAAATAAATTGAAAGCTTTCTTAGAGTGCCATTGGAAAATACCTAAGTATAATAGGAATGGGATTTGATTTCTTTCCTAAACATTAAAAGGAACATTCCCATTAGCAATAGGAATGGGGATTATGCTCCTTATAAATAGGAGATCATCCCACCCCTTTTTAGACTATTGTATTTTCGGCCCTCTCTCTTTTTAAGAGACAAAAAGTTTGTTTTGTTCTCTTAATAATTTACACCAAATATTTTATATTTTAGAAATATTCTAGAGAAAAATTACTGGCATAATTTTCTCTAGAACGCCCTTCATAGTTCGTGTGTCTCAATTGGAGGTCATATACTTTTGTGGCTAGCTCTTGGACCAATCTCTCAACCCGCACATATCGTTGCTTGCTCGCCAAGAAAGGTATATTCTCTAAACAATAACTTATAATGATCATAAGAGGTCGGGGGTAGTTCTACATTTGGACCAAAATTTTTATATTTCCACTGCACTATCCAAGCATAGGACCCAACACACGCTCAGCGTTGAAGCTGAGTAAGCATATCTAATGCGTCGAACATCCATATAAATTGAATCTCAATTCATAATCAAATCATTTGATATCATGCACATCATATTTTGTACAGATATTCAATAATCAATATTCAATATTCAACATTCATATTCAACATTCAACAATATCCTTAAACTATTCTTAGTCTAAGGCCAATCTCTTATAATGTTTACCAACTCTTAAGAGAATTCTAGTTTAATGTTCTTAAACTTTATTCCAGTTTAAGATACTCCTAACCCATCTTTAAGCTAGGCCTAGTTTAAGATACAAGTTTTCAAAAGAGGTTTTCAAAATCTTAAACTTACATTCGCTTAAATTACCCGAGAAACCGAACAGCGGAATGCTCACTGTCGGGTTGGGTGGTATCCCCAAACGAGTGATCCTCAAGTTTGGTTTGCGGGTCGTGTACGTATGTTTTTACCTAGGCCATCGAATACTCATAGTTATACCTGCAAGGCCTATTTCTAATCTATCTAAGAGGTCTTCTATCTAAATAGTATTAGAAACCAATGTCAACATAGATACTCCCTCCGTCCCCAAATAAACTTCCCCTTTCGTTTTTTCTTTGTTCCCAAATAAACTTCTCTTTTCCCTTAAAACCCCCTTTTACCCCTTACTTTTTCATACCCTACCTATCACATCATACCTTTTTACTAATAATCTACATATCACATCTTACTATTACACATCACATCATGGGTATTTTGGAAATGTCAACACAAAAATATCCCTCCCTTAAATCCTCAAAAAGTCAAAAAGGGAAGTTTATTTGGGGACGGAGGGAGTATATCTTAGAGTTCTTCTAGATATCCCTACAATACAAATCATTTCATAATCATCAATGTATTCATTTTAAATCATGGTTCAATCATCAATAATCCTTTTAATCAGTAAGTTCATCATTCATGATCATCCATAATAATCATTCATCATAATCATCAATCAACATAACATCCAATAACAAATAGCAGCCTAGCTTTGAATGTTAACACCCTAACTTTCCGTCATGCATCACATTAGATTTTATTTGTACAAAAAAAACACTTTTATTGTGAAAAATCATATTTATATTGATCGTAGTTGATTGGTATCAAAAATAGGATTTTAGAGCTCAAAAATAGCATTTTCAGAAATATTTTCGTGTCAGAATTTCGGGGGATCGATCCAGTACTCTGGATCGATCCAAGCTTGAGAAAACTATGCCCAGAGGATCGATCCAGTGGGGTGGATCGATCCACCCTGTTGGTTTTTCGATCATTGTTCATCTTCTACTTCGTTCGGGTCCAATTTTGAAAATATCATTTTTAGTTACCAAACTTCAAGTAAACTATATAGAAATATTCTCCATGGTTCATAGATCATTTTGGTATCATTAATTCATAGTTTTAACAAAAATTCCAAGGTTTATGATTCTTAGTTCTTCAAGCATGTCAAACATAAAACTCAACTAAACAACCATTTATGAACGTAGAAACGATCTATACGAACACTCTAGTCACTAGATATATATGTGGACTTATCTCCAAGCTTAACAAAGGTTTTAGAAATATTCCGGCGAAACTTCTGGCGACAATAACTCTCCGCGCTGGCGACTTCACACCAAATTGACAGCACCACTGCGTTCTCCACACTCAAAGCTAACTCTCAGAATAAAAGAGTTGGTCTTATATCAAAGAGTTGGTCTTATATAAAAGAGTTTGGAAGAAGAAGGTGGAGAATTGAGTAGAAGAGGTGGTCTTATATAAAAGAGTTTGGAAGAAGAAGGTGGAGAATTCTGAGTCACCTTCCCTGTTTGAGCGGCTACTGGAGCGGGCTATGTTATTTTCTAGATCCCAAACGCAAGTCCCTGATTGGGACTAATTTTGGTCCTAGCCAGGGTACACTTTTTGGTCCAACTTTCTTTGAATTGAATTCCGTTTGCACATAGTCAAAATTGATTTAGTTGACCTTTATTCAAAAAGGTTCTCTCAATTAATTTATATTACTTATTCTCATGATTTATTTCAATAAATAATTTCACAGTTCATATCATAAAAAAATTCTTCATTTATTCTTAATTTTGGTTTGTACTCTGGTTCCCAATTAAGATCACACAATAAGTCAACATATTAGATTTATCTCTATGAGATTTATCCAGATTGTGATATTGGATATCAAAATATATATCATTTCGGCCCAAAGCCCAATAATAATTTATTTTAATCAAAACAAATATGATTAATTGAATCATAAATCAATAATAATTTTGGGGTATGTTTTGGGGTGTTACAGCTAGGATTGAACCAAAGTACATATGTGTAGACAAAATTCTCAATGAATATACTATGACTATGAGGAATTGTATCAGTGATCCAAAGGAAAAGTCTTTTGAGGACTTAAGAAAACACCTTGAATCATTCCATGTAGACAAGCTATTGGATAGATATTGGATCAATCATATGTACTACACACACTGAATGGAGTTAAAGAGCATCATTGAGTTCTTATGAAGAACAACGCATATCTTTGAGATATTGTCTATGGAAGATGAGCTTAGTGTACGAGATTACACTAAGTCTAGCTTTCAAGGCTTCAGCGATGTTAATTAAGCCGTTAAGAGTGTTGTATAAGTTAATAGGATGATGGATCCTTGAGCTAGAAGAGCTACGAATCACAGTCATATTGTCAAGATACAAAGGTAGATTACATGACAGCTTTTGAAGCTGCTGAGTATAGTGTTTGGACCCAAAGCTTCATCGCGGAGCTCGATACGATTCATAGTAGTTTTGAATCCTGAATCATTGTAGAATGATTCAACGGGATCTTTTCACTAGCCAATGAATCATGGTCTCACCGGGAATAACAAACGTATCATTAAAACGTTTACACGTTAAACGAGCATGTAAGAAATTGTACAAAGTCTATATTTTGGATAAAAATGGATTTTTGGAATATTTTGAATATTTAGAATTAGTTTTGGATATTAATTCGATTCCTAAAAGGATAAGTATGAAAATTTTGAAAATCAAATTTATAAAAATTTGGAAATTCTATTACAATGATTAAGTAGGAGAAAAAATCTTGATTTTTAGAAAATATTGATTTTTGGAATTTTGAAATATCCAGAATTAAGTTTTAGAAATTAATTTGGTTTCCTACCAATTAAATTTTATAAATTCGAAATAATATTTTACAAAATCTGGAAATCTGGTTTTCATATTTAATATGAGACAAAATCTCTATTTCTAAAAATATTAATTTTTGGAATATTGTGATTTGTGAATATTCAGAATTAATTTTTGAAATTAATTTTTGCCTCTTCGCTATTGATTGTATAAATTCGAAAATAAAAATTTTTGAATGAAAATTTAATTTTCAGATTAAATAAATGAGAATATATATATATATATATATATATATATATATGATGGGAGATGGGTTTTGAGAGAGGTTTCTTTCACGGCGATCTTGGCCGACGGCTTTATCGGCGGAACCCTTTCTCCGCTGGGCTCAAGATACCAGAGATTAACTGGAAGTATAGATCTCCTTCGCATAGGAATTCATCCTCTAACGACTGGAGGGGGTTGGCGCATTCAAAGAACCCTTTCTCCACTGGGTTCAGAGTTCCTGAGATTGACAAGAGATTTGGCTTTCCTTTGCATAGATATTCATCTTCTAACTCCTGGAGGAGGTTGGCACAATCGAAGTATAATCGGGGATGGTCAAATTTTAGAGCTGGTAACAATCGTTCTCATTGGCAGTCAGATCGCGACGAGACCTTGAAAGCTGCTTTTTCAAGTGTCAGTAGCGGAACGTTCTGTCAATCGGGGAAGGTTTTTGGTGACAAGACCTGGAGATATCAGAAGTGAGAATGCTGACATGAGTAACGAAAAATCCTGTGAAAAACACGATCGCCTGCCAGTGGAAGGTTTTCTGCGTTCAGTCAATCTACGCAGAGTGAATCGGTCCCTAAGGAACCCCCGAAAGGGCTGCCGTCCNTTTTCAAGTGTCAGTAGCGGAACGTTCTGTCAATCGGGGAAGGTTTTTGGTGACAAGACCTGGAGATATCAGAAGTGAGAATGCTGACATGAGTAACGAAAAATCCTGTGAAAAACACGATCGCCTGCCAGTGGAAGGTTTTCTGCGTTCAGTCAATCTACGCAGAGTGAATCGGTCCCTAAGGAACCCCCGAAAGGGCTGCCGTCCGATGGGTACACGAAAGTGACGAATCATGGGGGTGTAAACAAATCCTTGCGCCCGTATCCAGCACCAGTAGATAGTCTTAACACGAGCTCCAGCTTTACGCTTCAAGCAAAGGTATTCGATCTCTTCCACTCTGGTTACAATCGCTTTCTCTGCATCACTGAGACAGGAAGAAGAACTTTTCAGATTTGGTTGGATTTTGAGGCATTTAATTGGATTTTGGACTCCCTCCCTAGGCTCTCAAGAAATAATTGTTGGGTTCTTTCAAGGTTTGAGAATAATCGTAAGCTTTCAATTTCTTTTGGATCCAACAAATGGGGGGATTATATCAGACTTCTTGAGCACAGACTCTAAGGTATCTGCTCTATTTTCTTCCCTATTGATAGGAGGGATGGCATTTCTCACATATACAACTGCCTATCCTTTTTCTTGTCTAAGATTAAGGGTAAGAATAAGGTGGATAAACCCGTCTTAGCAACTAACAATGGGAAAAGTCATAATTCTTCATTTGCTGAAGGGGCTTCAGGAATGGCTGAGTCTATAGCAGGTTTATCCAAAGATTCTGAACACGATGTTAAAGCTCTAGTCCTTTCTCCCAGGCCCTATGTGGCTTCCGATTCACATCCAACAACCTGCTCTAACAAAGCCCCAGTGCCTTTGCCTTCTTTTCCTGGAGGTTTTAGTACTTTCATTTGGCTTCATTTGTTCCATCATTTTTGTTCCCTCTACTCCTTTAGTCCTAAGGCTAGTGCTGAGAATTATGCCTTGGGTATGTCTCCTGTTGCAAAAGAGGACCCTTCGGACTCTATTCCTTTGGATAACTCACCTAGATCTTGTGCTCAGCTACAACCTTCTATGGAATCAGGATCCTTAAACACTATAGCTATTGTGCACAGTTTTGAACCTTTACAAGTTGTTTTCCCTGAGGAGGAGGATCTTCGGCAATCAGACTCTAGAGCATGCCTATCATATTCAGAGTATTTTAGAAAGGAGGACAGCCCAGACTTTCAATTGTTCTTTAGGGACAATGTTGAGTTTGACCCGGACCCAGAGCCATGGAGAGAATGGTACCCGGATGATGGTATTGAGCCAGATGACCACCTACAGCGATGGGGAGGTCCAAAGGGACTTACAGCTGCTCTTATTCGTAATAATGATCAGGGGCGGATCATTTTCGAGAGGGGATGTGCTAGAGGCTCTAGCCCCCCTGCTCCTAGAAGGAGTCTTAGGCTTGCAAGGCGACGTCGGCTTCCTTCTCCAAGTCGATCAGAGCTTTCTTTGGACTCGGAAAATCAATGGGGGTTTTGAGCTTCTGTTCATTTTGATAAGGGGAGTTATCTTGTTATTATCTCTGTTTGACAATCCTCATTGGTGGTAGTCCATGGTTTAAATTTTTCTTGAGCACGCCAGGCAAACGTGCTAGGGTCAGCAGTACATGGTAGTGCATTCTGCATTTTACTATTTCAAAGACCAGTTCAGTTTTGGAAGTTGCATCTTGTGTGAAGTATGTTGTCTACTATACAAGCTGTTCAAGATGTCCTTTGAGCCTGCTTCGAAGATTGAATGGATGTGGCTACTATCTGTTATGGTTCCTTGGATTCTATTTCTTGGCTTTGTTGTTTTTGCATTTTTCTATGTATCACCTCTTGGTTTGGAGTTTCTTGTTTTGGCTCTTCTGTTGGGGCTCGAGCCACCCCTCTTCTCCTTTTTTATTTTGTTTTAATAATATTTTCCTTTAACAAAAAAAAAATAAAAAATAATATATATATATATATATATATAATCGACCCTGGCTTGCCTCCGCCTCCTCTTTGATAACCTAATCGACCCTGGCTTGCCTCCGCCTCCTCTTGCCGCCGATTAAACTGCCGCCATCTGCTAGTGCCGCCCCCGCACACTCCGGTTCTCTGTGAAAATGGCGACTCAGATGAGCAAGAAGCGAAAGTTCGTCGCTGACGGCGTGTTCTACGCCGAGCTGAACGAGCTTTTGACGCGCGAGCTTGCTGAGGATGGATACTCCGGTGTCGAGGTCCGTGTCACTCCCGTTAGGACGGAGATCATCATCCGTGCTACTCGCACTCAGAATGTTCTCGGTGAGAAAGGAAGGAGGATTAGGGAACTGACCTCAGTTGTCCAGAAAAGGTTCAAATTTGAGGAGAACACCGTGGAATTGTATGCTGAGAAGGTGAACAACAGGGGTCTTTGTGCCATTGCGCAGGCTGAATCTCTGCGCTACAAGCTTCTTGGTGGCTTGGCTGTTAGAAGGGCTTGCTATGGTGTTCTGCGGTTTGTTATGGAAAGTGGAGCCAAGGGCTGTGAGGTAATTGTCAGTGGAAAACTGAGGGCTCAGAGGGCCAAATCTATGAAGTTCAAAGATGGTTACATGATTTCATCTGGTCAACCCGTCAAGGAATACATTGACACTGCCGTGAGACACATCCTCATGAGACAGGGAGTGCTGGGCATCAAGGTTAAGATCATGCTTGCACATGACCCACAAGGAAAGAATGGGCCAAAGACTCCTCTTCCAGATCTTGTCACCATTCATCCTCTTAAGACCGAAGAAGACTTCACCAATGTGCCTCCACCCGCAATGGTACCCCCACCAACAACTGAAATTGAAGTTATGTAGAGAGCAACGTGCGTGGTAGTTTCCCTCCCTTTTGTTATGCTTTTGGGTATCAGAACTTTCATCGCTCTCGAGGATTTCACCGTTGCCTTCTTACCTTTCTCCTTTTTTAAAGGAATCTAGTTATTTTGTTTACTGATGAAGTTTTGTTTCAAATTGATAATGAAGATTTGTGCCTTTGATTTCAGACATCAAAATATATATATATATATATATATATACATATATGTATATATACATATATGTATATATATATATATATGTATATATATAAAAGGAGGATTTTTTATTAGATGGAAGCCAATAAAAGTACAAGTACAAAAGCTACCCGAAAGTGGTAACAAAGAGAGAAACAAAATAAAATAAAGTAATGATCAAACTTAAATCCAGACTACAATTCCATTGTGCGCAGTTTCAGTTGCCCATTTATAGTCTGGAGGATACTTTGTGGGCAATGCAATTCTTGATATCATTCCATCTTCTCGGGGTTCACTTGGACGACCCAGTATCATGCACGGCCCGTGGAAACCCTTGGTGGTGACCATGGCTTGAAGTTGTCCGGTGGAGGGATCCTTAACGTAAGAAAGAACTCCCTCCTCGCGTTTGAGATTGGAATTTCTCGTCAAAGGTTTAGAGACACTTCTAGTTCGGTCTTCTTTTCTTTGAATTGGCTCAAGTTCTTTTGCATTTGACGTCTGTTCTGCATCTTCAACATAGGGGTCTTGATTGATCTGTATATCATTCAAAACCTTACTGGGGGATTGCTCAATTAAGGAGTCAAAGCTGTTGATGTTGATGGTAGAATTCTTTGGGTCAGAATTAGTGTCATCATCCCCAATATAGTTTTCTTCCCTAGTGCCATTCGAGCCTACCTGTATGGTAGTTTCGTGTGCAATAGGTGATGAGTGAATAACAGATTGGGTCTGGACATCTTTAACAGAAGAGTTATCAGGAGTTTTTTGTAAGACAGATTCTCTAGGGGCTGAATTGATACCTGTGGCAGTAGCTTTGATTGTATCAGGAAAATACATGTCATTCTGTGTTATATTACCAAAAATAACCGAGGATAAAGATGCATCATCATTTGCTGCTATAGTTTTGGGAAAAACAGGGAAGTTAGAACAACCAGTAAGTTGTTTGGGACATGGTCTTTGAGTGCCATCCGAAGACTCCAAGGGGGTCTCGTGTGCTCTCAAAGTCCGATAGATTTCATCATCCACATTCTCATCTTCTTCTTTTGAGTCTTCTTTTGAGTCTTTGCAGATTCTGTTGTCAAGAGCAGTGTGATTGACTGCAGGGGCAGTAGAGCCTTTCTTAATCAATTTCTCCTCCCTCCTAATCCACCTAGAGAATTTTTTTACTGATTTGCAGTTTTTGTGGCCAAAAACCCTGCAAGAGGTGCAATAATCAAGAAGGTCCTCATAGTGAATTGGTTGAAGGAATGATGATTGGCCTAGATGAATCCAGACTGCATGTGGTATAGGCTTTGTAAGATCAATTTCAATGCAAACTCTAGCAACAGAAGGTCGAGCAAGATTTAAAGTAGCCGAGTCCAATTGGAGAGGGGAGCCAACCAATTTAGCAAAGGAAAACAAGGCATTTGGCTCAAATAAATGTATAGGGAGGCCTTCTAGGGATTTCTCAAAAGACATCGTAGGAAATCTTTTTCTGTAGAAAAGGAGATCAAAATATGTGAGGAATCAAGGAGGGTTACCTTCGGAGTGGAGGAGAAACCAATCTTCTCAAAGGAAGATCTGGCAGAGGACATTGAAGGCCATCCAGAGGTGAAGGAGCCAACAATGGTCCTACTGAATTTGGTGCAAAGCTTCTGGATTTCCCCATCGTTGAATGAAACGCAAGGCAGGCCTTTATATCTCGACTGCGTTTCACCAGAGACTAGAGCATCTGAGAAAAGGGGGAAGCCATGGAGCTAGGTGAGAGAGCATAAGGATTGAGTAGTGTGAGGCGGTCGACGGCGAAGACATCGCGGCTTCACCGCCGCAAGGCGTCGTCACCAACCCTAGAGAGGGTAAAAGTCATATATATATATATATATATATATATATATATATATATATATATATATATTTTGGTTCAGGTGAGAATGCAATCTAATGAAAGAAATAAGAATGAATCTAGTGCATTAGATTAGGAGATCTAAGGGTTAGGATTGCATCAAAATTAGGTGCACTAAGATGGTTTGAAAATGCATCATCTCGAGATGCACCATAATCCTTTAAAAATGCACTATCTCGAAATTTGAGTGCTGAATGCAATCTGAGCCGCACGATGCATCAGATCCAAAGGATAGATTTCATTCTTATTTCTTTCACCAAGTGAGAATGCACCTTGGTGAAAGAAATAAGAATGAAATCTATTCTTTGGATCTGATGCATCGTGCGGCTCAGATTGGTTGTGGTGTAAAGTTGAGTGAGGCTGGTTCAAGTGAGAATGCACCTTGGTGAAACCAAAATTTGTGTGTGTGTAAAGTTGAGTGTATTGGTTGTGGTTTTGCCATGTGCCATGCCACATGCGCATCCACATGTGCACTAATTATGAGATGGATTTCATCGGTTTATTAAGCTTCTTTTTTTAAAGATCTTTTAATATATTTTATTGTATTATATAAAATGAATATTATTTATTAGCATGAATAAACATTACTTTAATTATATTTTGTATAAAACTTTAATATTTTCTAACGATTCTATAAATATATATTTCACTATTGTAAAATATACTCTATATTTTAAATATGCATATTCATTGTAAAAACTTAATATTTTCTAACGATTCTATAAATATATATTTCATTATTGTAATATATACTCCGTATTTTAAATATGCATATTCATTGTAAAATTTTGAAAAAGAGTATGTATAAGACTCTATTATTAATTTAAAAATATTTCACTTTCAAAAAATGAAAAAACATTTCACCTTCAAAGATATTAAATTGTTTTTTGGCATTTTTATGTTTTATTTAATGTAATACTCCCTCCGTCCCCTTGTATTTGTCCACATTTGACTTTTGGAATTGTTCATCTAAGCACTTTGACTAATCAAATTCTCTCAATGTGTAAGCCTAAATATAGTCATGTGTGATCTTGTTTGATTCGTCTTAACATATAGATTATTAATATATAATTTTTATAATTTTTTAATATACAAATTACAAGATAAAATGGATTAAAGAAGTGCATTGGATAATGTGTAAAAATGAAAGTGGACAAATACAGGAGGACGGAGGGAGTATTTTTTTAATAAAATAGTTATAGAATTTTTAGTGCTTGTACATCAATATTCTATATTATAGTAATATTCTAGGAAGAATTTACTAGCATAAATTCTTTATAAAACATTGTTCGTTGTTCGTGTGGACGCACTAGAGGTTGGATCATTTGTGACTAGCTCGTTGCACCAATCCCTTCACCTGCACCGTCCGATCTGTTTTCAACGAGAAAATGTATTTTTCTTAACAATAATTTATAGTTTCATAAGACGATCTTGGTTGGTAACGACGATTGGATATAAAATTTTGTTTTCCGCAACGCTATCCATGCTTGGTTACCCAACACACTTTAAAAAAAACAAATACTCCATAGTAGATCTATAGATGGGAAAGAAAACAAACCCACTGAAGCAATGAATGGTCACTTTTAATACTACTAGTAGATTGGCACACAGAAAGATTTGAAAGAGGTCGCTGAACAGTGGCCACAGTCCCTACTCCCTAGTCAGCATCGGTGGAGGTGTATAAAACTCACTAAAGCAACCCACAAGCTTTGAAAGGCATCGCCCATATGTCAGAGTAGCAAGACCACGACGAGGGAGTATAGATTAAGAGTCAACCATAGCTGAAGGAAGCTTCAAGCCATAGTCAACAATGGCAGAGATATATAGATTTGAACAAACATTAACCGGGACATAGCTCAAAATCCAACCAAAAGTAAATATTGAAATAGCTGAAATGATCATAATCATGTGAAGAACTCAAATTTATTGGTAGATTAGTTAATCGTGGAAGGAGGAGGTTCAATTTGAAGTTGGAGATGGAGGAAGAAGGGGCCAACTTCTCGAAACTGGAAGGAAAAAAAGATAAAAGATAAGGTAGGTGGATCGTGGACTGGGCTAAAACATCACAGAGTATTTATATTTCGGTCCTTTCGGTTTGGACCGAAAAAATTTCGGTCGGGGACCGAACTGGACTAAAACTTGAAACCTTAAATAATCTGGACCGAAGACCGAAGACCGACCCGAAATCTACTCGGTCCGGGTTCGGTCTGGACCTAATGATCCGGTTCGGTCAGTTGTTTCAGTCCGGACCTTAACATGAACAGGCCTCACTACAATAACACAAGAAAGCATCTCATCATCTCCAAAATCAAAATATCCCAGACATAGGGTTCAAACACAATCAGCTGTCACCATGTGCTTTAAACATAAACTACACATTTCATAAATGGAAACATAACATAGCCATTAAACATGCATACCGTTCAGTTACTTGTATTCAAAATGCTTTCAAGTAAGAAAAGGCCATTCATTGAATGGAGCAAATCAGGTCAGAAACTTACATTCCTAAGGAATGACAAGCAGATATGAACATATAAAAGTGCTATTGAAAACCAATGCGTCTCTCTCGGACCTCTGAAGTCCAAATATTTCATTACATGTTCTGTTGTACAACTTCAAATCCACTGGAGTTTTAAAAACTGGATGCTTTCAGAACTGTTTTCTCTTGTTCCGAAACAACTTTTCTCTCTTTGCAAAGATATAGAGAAGACCAATGAAAATACCAGCAGACATAGAAAATGACACCCATGGGAATGGTGGATCCTTGAAGCAAACAAGGGATGCCTCCAAAACTTGTGAAGCGCGGTAAACAAGAGAGTGAGCAGCGTACAGATCATGATCTGATGACCTGAGATAGTACAATGCCATCTCGAAATCAAAATGTGACAAAGCAGAAACTGCCTTATCCAGCTTGTATTTGAACAAATTCCACCTTTGGACAAGCTCAAGAAGCTCGTTACGCTTGAGGAGTTTTCTCTCCCCACCATGGGCAGCAATGGATTCAACTACATCAATGGCACTGGTGAAACTACTGTTGAGGTATGTCAAGAGAACATTCCTTCTGGCAGCATCCTTCTGCACGAAAGACAGAGACGAAATCTCTGAAAACGGACCAAATGGTGTGTTTCCGACGCTCCACGTATAGTCCACAAGAGTGCTGTTGTGCTTAGGGCCCCACAGCAAATGTGTTGGGGAGACTCCCCACATACTCTGTAAAATGGAACCAACAAGAGGCCTCTCCAACTCACGAGTCTGGGAAAAAACATGGCGTCCATTACAACTATAGTCGCTGACAGCCTGGGTACTCTTCGTCCTGACCGCAATAACCATATCTTTGAATGCCACAGCCTGATGGTAACGGTCGAGCAACAAAATCATGCTGACATCCAAATCAAAAACATAGACCGGGACAACCCTCCCAAAACCTTCATCCAAAGGAAGCTTCACCACCCGCCTGAACTCGTCCGCGGATTCTGACAGAGTCTGGTGTAAGCGTTTTGAGTCCAGATACTCACTAACAATCAGGGTGTAGTTATCAAATAAATACCTAGAAGTGTAAGAAGTGGTTGCCCTTGTAATGGCAAAAGAACAAATTGAGCACTCGGTTAAATTCACCTCATACTTCTTAAAGCTTAAAGACTGATCGCCCAACAATAACCCTTTATCATTAGCTTCATCCACAAAGGTCTTCTCAATTGACTTCCAATCCAATCCAGTGCTATCTTTGTTTTCGGGTGAACCATTTATGTGTATGAACTGAACAATCAAGGAATCCTCAAAAGGGACAGGAATCCTCAAAGAAGGAACAGCAAGTACCTGGTAAGCACTCCAAACCAGTGAAGCCAAGTCAGAAAGCATAGACTTTTGAGACTTGGGTCGACCGTGGATAGACGCCAGTGGATGAAACTCGCCCCTAGGCATAAGACCATCACCATAGAGTGCTGGACCATACTCCACCGGGCCGGCCCCTAAGTCGATCCAGATGTAACGGTCTTTCCCTGTCCAAATGGTGCCTAAGCACTTGGTAACTGCCGGGGACTGATCGCCATGGGTGTAGCTATAAGCATAAGGCTTAGACTGGGGGCCCAGATTGAGGATGTAAATATATATTCCATTGGTGGGCTTCTCCTTTTCGAAGTCCTGCCTGATAATCTGGTCGATGGCGGTGTAGGGAAGGGAGGTGAGATGGGATCGGAAGCTAGAAGGAGTGGAGGCTAGCTGGGTTTTTAAGCTTTCAGAGAGATGCGAAGCAAGCGAAGCGGGGGCGAGGGACACTTCCGAGTGGAGAGAATGGGAAAGCGCGAGATGATGAGTGGGGTGGGCGGTCAAAGGGGAGATGACATGGTAGTGATCGAAAGAGACGGAGGAGGCGATGAACGACGACAGGATACTAGGGGAAGAGGAGGAGAAGGCGCTCCCAACAAGCTTGACTGTAATTGGGACGGAAACTTGAAGGGAAAGGAGGGCGGCGATGGTGAGCGGCGGATGAGCCGATGTTTGGGAAAGAGTATTTTTCAGATGGGAAGGTAGAGAGAAAAATGAGTCATTGGAGGCTTGCGGGTCGAAACGGGACTGCTGGGTGAGGAAGGAGTCCAGTCCCAGAATTGGGGCGGAGCTTGTGAGTGTGGCGGAGAAGAGGAGCCGGAGGATGAGGAGGAAGACGATGGTCGGCGTCATCTTTGATCCTTCCGCCGATCCAGTTTGACAAGAAATGGGTCATCTCGTCTGATCTTATTACCCTTTCTACAATTGGACCCAGGGGTGCAAGAATCTCATTTCCTTTAAAAATGTAAAATGGGACGAAATCAACATGCATAAATATTTTTCCATTCGGTCTAATCTCTTGTTCTATTTATTTATAAGAAATCACCCTACATAGCACTTTAATTCACTCAAAAATACGCATTTAGCACTACTCATTGTT